CTGTCTGGCACCCACTCTACTTTCTTATCCCATTCCCTGCGCTCAGTGATGCCTTTGCTCTGCACACTGTCAATGAAACTTCTGCTACACTCTAATCCCAGACAGGCAGCAGTGTAAAAAAGGTTAAGATAATAAGGCCCTTCCCTCCCCTGTCAGGAGACCTCTTGCACATCCTGACCTCCTTCAAATTACATCTGCTGGACAGATTTGTGAGAGCATGCAGCTAGCTACCTGCAAAAGGAGCTGCGTGTGTCCACCACACTAGGTAAACTCCTGACCCTAATCCTCAGGAGGGAGAGCATGTTAGATGAGATGACTATCTCCTCCAGGACTCACAACCAACAGCATCCCCTGGTCTAAAGTTCTGAGTCAGAAAACAGCTGTACAGAACAGCATTTTAATCATATTCAAGCTATCAGGTTCTAATTCAGGAGCTCTAGAAGCATCAAGTGTAAGCCAAAATAATTAATATTGGAGCAATCAGCTCTTTATGTGGAATTCATAACAGTACAGGGTGCCTATTTCATTTAAAGGAGTTCTAAATAAAAGAATTTCCTCTGTGCCAGTTTGCTGTTTTCCCTTTGCCTTCAAATCCATTAAACCATACAAATTAACTACCTTGCTCACTGCTTTTACAATATTCACCGAGCCCCCTACCCACATTTTCCTCCATCCTGACATCCTCCATTTCATTGTGCTTACTGTAGAAAGGAACAGATAGGGACATTGCCAAAGTCTTGTGTGACTGGCTAAATAATTCATTATTCTGACTTTTAAAATAGTTAACATAAGCAATAACTTAGACAACATAATATGGCATCAAAGATATGTAGATTTCATAATCATTTTAGATGAATTTTCACTTAATTTTGTTGAAAATGTTAACAAGAGCCAAATTAAAGTTGAGTAATAGGAGACAGGAGGCAAATCTTTGGCAAAAGGGAAAGGTACCACTAAGTGGACAAACAGGGAAGAATGAATGAGAATGCTTTGCTAACTCCCCACAATGAATGCAATTATTATGTACTCTAAACATATACCAATAAATATAAAAATTGTAAAACTTAATCATTTCTATTAATAGTTTAGAATGGCCAAAGAATTGGTTACAGTAAGAAATATCATGTGATTTCATCATTCCTATTATATGCTGTAAACAGTCCATTGTGGAAGTGATAGTTAATATATTGTTCATTATGATTTGTCTCTCATATATCTTTGGTTTGTTTCATTTTTGTTTTACAATATGGCAAACCAGCAAGGGCCTCAGGTACACCCGGAAGGTCCCCCCTACTGTGCTACACCCAAGTTCATATTTATTCTTTTGCTTATCAAAGTTAGTATTTTCCAAAAACAGAGGTAGACCTGGCTACAGGCAGCTTTCCAGAGGCAGAGCAGCTGCTGGCTGCCACTCTCCAGTGAGTAGAAATCGTTCCCAGAGGGATAGTGAGATGATAAGGATACAGACATGAAGGGGAATAAAGCTCTACACAGTTATGGCCCTCTGTTCCTCAGGGTGGAGGGAGGAGCAGTGCATCATCATGTGAACAGCACAGCCTGCATTCTAGTGTGCTGCTGGGGCCGTGACACCCTCTCAAGAGACACACAATCTCCCTGAGCCGGGACATGGCCCCTGACTTCAACGGAGGCTTTCTGTGCAGCCTTGGACAGGTCACTGGAAATGTTTGCATGCTCTGAGTTTGGGACATCAGGAGGGGATAAAGATGTGACCAACAATAGTTCCTTCAAATGTGTGGCTAAAGGTATGTGTTTTAGCTGAGGTCCACAGATGAAAGGGTTGTGCAAGATGGTGAAGCAAACCTTTAAAGTGAACAGCTGGTACTCTAAATACTTTCTAGGGCTTGTCATTATTCTCAGTAGGTCTCATCTTTCTGAAGAGTAAAACAGTTACTCAGGCTCTCAGTTCCTCTGTCAGAAAACAGCTCTGAGTTCTAAAGTATATACTCATAAGGAATTGGTGTATGCTCATGGTTTGGCAGTGGAGATGCCGTGATTGTCCAGCACATGGTGACCAGTTAAGTGGAGAAGTCATTTCACAGGTAAGGGTTAAGAAAGCCCCAGCTCCACATCAGGTTCCCAAAGACCCAGCAGTGAGGACCCTGGGAAGGGGCCAGGCCTCTTTCCACAAAGGATCTATTTCAATCAGACGTGCTATGGAGGCACCTCGGAAATAATGATTATAAGCAATGAAGTCAATGTGCACCAAGTGTTTCCTGATGCCAGGCACTGTCCAGAGTGTTTCCATACAAAATCCCATGGGGTGCCTTTTTTTGCTTCAGCTGACGGGAAACAAAGAAATATTTCATTATAAAAACACGGGGCTGGGGATTTTAGCTCAGCAGCATAAGTGCCTGCCTTGCAAGCAGGCAGTCATGAGTTCGATCCCTGATACCGATGAAAAGGAAAAAGACAAAAAAAAAAAAAAAACAGGTGAAACAAGAGGCTGAGGCAGTCTCTTAGCACTTCTAATGACATGACACCAAACCAAAATGAAAAATGCAGCTGCTTGAAGAGAGCTGTCTCAGAGGTTAGCCTGTGTAAGGTAGCCTAAGCTGAGTCTGGGAGCTGTTAGTTACCCATCCCTTCCTGTCTCTGTTGCATATGCTCAGCTGTCAGTGAAAGTCCATCTTCTCACTTAAACCCTCAGAACTAGATATTTCAGCACTTGTTTCCAGCTAGTATAGGCTGGATCACAATGGAGGTTAAACCAATAGGTGTCCTGAGTTCAATAACAAGGGGCTCTCAAAGGCAGAAGATTTTCATTTTAATCTTCACTGCTTACTATCTGCTCATTGTTTGCCTCTATATCATGTGCATTTCTAAACCATACAGCTTAACAGGATAGTAGGAAGAGGCTCATCATTCCACTTGTAAAACAAAATAATGAGACAGAAACACTGAGTCATGAGCATTAGCTGAGAAAGAGGTGCAACTGCTATGCCACCTGTCCTGCAGTGCGGGCCCTGCCTACAGACCCCAGGCTCCAACCCTCAGCATGTTCTCTCCTCCCTCCAGCTTGGGGAGAAGGTAAAAGCCCCAGAAAGTGCACAGGTCTGCTCTGCCTCATGGCTCTTAGCTCCTCCACCTGCAGGCAGCAGATGAAGGAATTCTAGAAACAAGAGAAACTGCAGCAAATCAGGTGGTGCCTGGCTCAACACCAGGTCAACTGACAGGGAAAGAGAAGAGACAACGTGTATACATGCATGGTCTCAGTGCATGTGCCTTTGTTTATATTTTAATCTCTGTGCTTCTGTGCATTTCTTTGCACACTTCAGAGTTTCTACACAGAATGCCACTCTATCAGGTGTAATATTAGTGTTGCTACCACTGACTCTTGCTTTTCCTCTTATGATCTCAGCACTGTGTGAGGTCAGAAATGCATGTATTGCAGGATGCAGTCTTTGCTCTGTCCATGAGTGTGGAATGCCAAGCAGGCAACAGCAGTAAGAGCACTTAGAGACAGACATCTTCATGGTACACAGCTAAAACAGGGTCAGACAGTATTGCTTGAGAGCTGTGATGTCCCTCTTGGTCTGTCCCTCGGTGATGCCCAGGAAGCCTGGGACACCCTCAAAGGCAGGACCATGTGATGGGTGAGACAAGGCCTGCAGATGTAACTGGAAAAGAGTCAGAATATGTAAGAAAGCCTCAGCTAAAAACAAACAAGTAAACCATTGACTCAGTTCTTTGCCTCAGCCCTAAGTGAACTGTTACTACTACATGAGAAATGTAGATATTTAAATTAGTCACAGGGCAAGGGACGTGCTTACACATGCTTTACTATAAGTGCGAGTGCATCCTAGCAGGATGCTTTATGCATGAGCAGTCTTCACAAAAGCTATGTGCACGGGCTCATGTACAGGGCCGCCCAACCTTCAGTAGAAGTCTGAGTCAATAAACTCATCCCCATCCTCAAGCTTTTGGTGCCTGTGCAGAGACCAGTGCATATCTAATTAAATAAAGGAGCTATAGTGCACAACAGTCCTTCCCCAAGACTTGCAATTTAAGTATGCATGTATTCATGCAATGTATTTTTTATTTCTTCTTTTCAGTGACAGGTCAATAGAAAGCTAATGAAATAGACATGACGTTGAATAGTAGGAGGAGACATTAGGGATGAAGATGTAAAGCTGCCCAGGGTGCCATCTGCTTTGCTTGCATGTACACGCTGCTGGGAGTCTGCGCAAAGTTCATAGCAACCTCTTAGGAAATCCATTTTACCACCTCCTTTTACAAATGAGAAAGTTCAGGAAGAGAAAAATGTGAGTAAATGCTAACTTAGATTTGGTATTAGCTGGCCCCGCTGAACTGCAAACCTTACAGACTACATGGCACACGCTGGACCACTGAGCTATCCCACATGCATCTATGTGTACAGGTGTGTGTGAGAAAATAAACACTGTGCCCACATTTTAGAGAATGTAGCTAGAATGTTTGAATATTCATTAAATTTGGAACATTTGCTATCATAAAAAGGTATACTTGTATGATATATGCTTGCATCAACCATGAAGGTGTAAACTGTAGCACAAATGCATCAGTTTATGCTGATAAACAGACTCCAAAACAGTCCAAGGGTATCTCCTCATTTTCTTCCCTTTCCAGGAAAGACACTATCTAGATTTTGGGTTAATGATATTTCCACGTCAGCAACCCAAACTTTAGTACATGCTCTGACATGTTAGTTACACACTAAAAATGCTAAGAGTTTGATAGAACTGCATTGTGAAGTCCACTGCATGATAGATAAATAGGAGTTTTTATCAATTGTTAATGACTCTGTTCTCAAGTTGCCATGAGTCACATTAAGAAATGTGAATTGTAACTTGCAGCAATGGTGACTTCCATTAGCAATGAGTGAGTTGTAAGTAGGAAACTGGGATGAAGCCCTGAGCATCCAGGCAGTGAGCCCACAGCTGACATGGGATCAGGGTGGTGCTGCATTGCCAGATGCTCAGCTTGTCCTTTGGCCCTGGCCCGTGCTTCTCCTCGCAAGAGCCCTCTCTGACCCTCTAACCCAGGCTGGTCAGTCCCAGGACAGGCCCTGCTGTTATCCCAAATGGCTATTTGCTTTCCGTTTGTCTTCCCTCAAATGTAAGTCCCATCTGGGAAAAGAGGGGTTTTGCTGACTGCTGAATCCCAATGCACACAATTGTCATTGCAAAATCCTCTGAGCACAATAATTATTGGACAAAGAGGCAAAGAAAGCAGTTGGAAGTAATGGAAATAGAAAGGAGCAGCTATGGGGTGGTCTTTTTAATTTCTCCGATGCTTTTCACTTTGTTTTAGGACACGCTAATAGTACAGAATGTTTGGTAACATCTGACCATTGACTGAAGGAAGAGAGTGTTGAGCTGTAATAGGCATTTGTCCATTTCTTGCTGAGTAAATGAACACATTTCTGACACATCCCCAGACACAGCAACCACAGTGTAGGACGTGGTGTGAAAACATGGGTTTGAGCAATATTTTCCAAATCCTTGAACTTTCGATTTGCAGGTTAGAAATCTCTCTGCCTTACTGAGGTTCTACAAAGGGGTGTAAGGATCCAGCCCTCTCATTCTGGGATGCTCTTCTGAATTCTTTGCTCTTTTCTTGTCCAGGTCATGAGTGTGAATTGTTCCCTGTGGCAGGAAAACAGTATGTTTGTCAAGCGTTTTGCATTTTCCAAATTCTCTGAGGTTGCAGAGCATTGCTTTCTTCTGTTTGCCCTGGTCCTGCTGATGTTCTTAGCCTCGCTGACAGGCAATGCTCTCATAGCCCTGGCCATCCGCACCAACCCCATCCTGCACACCCCCATGTACTTTTTCCTGGCCAACCTGTCTTTCCTGGAGATTGGCTACACGTCCTCGGTGGTGCCACAGATGCTGCAGAACCTCGTGAGCGAGGCCCCAGGCATCTCCAGGGAGGGCTGCACCACGCAGATGTTTTTCTTCACATTCTTTGGCATTAGTGAGTGCTGCCTGTTGGCAGCTATGGCTTTTGACCGCTACATGGCCATCTGCTCCCCGCTCCACTATGCAACACACATGAGCCGTGGGATGTGCGCCCGCCTGGCGCTGGTCTCTTGGGGAGTAGGCTGCACAGTGGCCCTGGGCCAGACCAATTATATTTTCTCCTTGGACTTCTGTGGCCCCTGTGAGATAGACCACTTCTTCTGCGACCTCCCCCCAATCCTGGCACTGGCCTGCGGGGACACATCTTGCAACGAGGCTGCAGTCTTCGTGGTGGCAGTCTTCTGCATCTCCAGCCCGTTTTTACTCATCATTGTTTCCTATGGCAAGATTCTGGCTTCGGTGCTGGCCATGCCCTCTCCTGAGGGTCGCCATAAAGCCCTCTCCACCTGTTCCTCCCACCTACTTGTGGTGACCCTCTTCTACGGCTCTGGCTCAGTCACCTACCTGAGGCCCAAGGCCAGTCACTCTCCAGGAGTGGATAAACTGCTGGCCCTCTTCTACACGGTGGTGACTTCCATGCTCAACCCCATCATCTACAGTTTACGAAACAAAGAAGTAAAGGCAGCTCTCAGGAGAACCTTGGGAAACAAGAAGGTTTTGACCCAGGGTTAGGTCCCAAGGACCACGCAGCTATGCACCTTGGAAGAGACATCTTGTGAAACCATCACTGTCAGTTTGAAGTCTCTGGACTCAGAACTACTTTCTGATTTCAAATTCTTCACACAAGTTGGCTGCTGAAGAATTTTCCTAGTGATATTAGATATGTTTTTGAAAGCATTTTAGTCTGGGCTCAGCATGTAAATTTACAGCATATGTCTCAGAAGTTCGGTGGTTTCTCACTCCACATCTGCAGATATTTCCTTAATCCGAGCTCCTCCACCAGGCTCCTCCACCATGCAGCTTCCTCTGGGAGTCACCTACCATCTGACTGCATATCTTCATACTGTCCTCAGTGGCTCTTAATCATCTAATAATTCACAGTGTATTATTTCTTCCCCCTGAAAGTGTTTTAAAATTCTTTAGTTGTAATTATTAACACAAAATATACTCACAACATGTCTGTGATTTGAGTTGATAGTATATACTCCAAAAAACCATGCTTTTAGTCTTCAGAGATATTTGCTACAAAACTTTAGCAGAAAAATATAGGAAATTGTCATCAAAAATATATAAAGTGTTTAACACAAAATAGTTCACACAACATGTTCTGTGATTTGAGTATGCCAGGCAAATATGTAAATAGTACAAAAAAAGAAATTTTAAACATCAGAGATATTTGCTACAAAACATTAGAATAAAAATACAGAAAACCTTTGTCAAAAATGTTTAAAATGTTTTTAAAGAAATGTAAATAATATTAAAATTCAAGATAGTAGAAGAAATCCAATTAAGAAATAATGAATATGAACCATTAAATTAATACACAAATTTCCATAGTGCAGATGAATCCTGACTCATTACACTTGGAAATTGTTGAAAAAAATTTTCCTTGAGAGAAATGAACATGATTATACCATAATGCAGCAGCCACAGGCATCTATCAAGGCCTTACCATCAACTGGAATGTCTCGGTTTCAGAGAACTGCTTTGCTAACCTTTAATCAATGAAGAACTAACCACTACTCACACAATGTGACAGATAGTGGGAAACTGTGACTGCTACCACGAAAGAAGTTTATATTCCAAACATGATTTAGCAGAATTTGTTGTTTCTACAGCCAGGGGCAAATATTTATGTTTGTCAATGAACTGGTGTGTATTTTGCCAGATATCCCTCTATTACCAGAAACTGTCCAATCCATGTAAACCAAATGCTTTGTGTTTTTTATATGTGTGAATAATAATTAAAAATGGCATAATCAGAACATGCAAAACTTGCTGACAATTGTGCTACAGCTATGGTGGGACTATTTGGTGCAGACATCAGACATTGTTATGGTTTATTCCCACATGTTACCAGGCACCTTATACACTTACAGGCAGGCTTTTCAATCATGAATAGATTGTGGGGTCACTACAGTTAAATGTGCTGTTAGGGCGCAGTTGAAGAGGCAGGGCACCAGGCGTGTGCCCGGAAAGAGTGTATCTCCCTCTCAGCTGGTCCCTTGCATCTCTGTTTGTTGAACACCATGATGTGAGTAGTTTCCTCTGCCAGGCCCCTTGGACGTACTGTTTCTTCTTTGAAGCCAGCTGACCATGGACTGAAACGTGGCCAAAATAGGCCTCTCCTTGAAGATCTGTATGTCAAGTGTCATATTCCAGCAACAAGAAAGTGACTAAGGTAGAGATGGTAATTTATGTGTACTTACCTAGGGAGAAATAAATGACTTATTAAAAATTAAAGTGAGTAAAATGTTTATATGTGACCCTTTTTATAAAAACATTATTAATAAGTTGAAAGGATCAAATAAAATGTTAACAGCAATTTCCCTAGGAAATTGGTGATATTTTTATCTCTGGTTTCTAAGGTTTCTTCAACAAATAGGTAGTTTATCATATTAAAAATAAAATACTTCACTGTTGAATTTTTTTAAAACAAGTAATGCATGCTTTTCAGCACCATTTACAAAGACATGAAGTATGAGAATTAATTTTAGTTCCATTATAATCTCAAAACTAGCAATATCCTATATAAATTTTTAATTGTCTTACCATTTTTATTACCATTTTTATTTTATTTCTTTTAATCACAATTATTTCCATAACATATATGTTACCAGTACAGTGTTTTATAAACAGTGGAACTTGGAAATGTCAAAAAGCCTGTATTTTAAGACATGTCAATGTGAAATATTTGCATTATATTTAATTATTTTCAATATTTTTCTCTGTTATATATTCCTGAAATAGAGACATGTCTCACAAATTTGATTCTCAGCATCTGTGCTGTTTTATTTCAAAGACCATCTGACATATATTCACTTAGTAGCAGCAGGAGCCACAACCAAAAAGCAACGTGAGGACCAGTTGCTTAGATATGGTGCCAGCTCATTGAAGGTGTCCCCACGGTGACCTCTAACTGTGATCATCTTCGTCTGTTCTGCTGGAGACCAAGCAGCTGATGGCTGCCCAACCCCTCATCAAAGAAGAGCAAGAGCACGAGCATTCAGTGCAGGCAGCTGGCTCCAGGACCCAGCACTCTGACTCCATCCTGTGCCTCTGTTCTAGGTCTCTGAATCTCTTTCCTGAAGCAGTGAAGCAAAAGAAGAGCCCAGCATACCCGGGTAATGTGTCTGCTAGGAGGCTCCAGCCCTAGTATTTAGATGCCACCCACTCGTGAGATGTTTTAGCTGATTTCATTTTTCATATTTAAAGCCTCTGCTTTGATTTTGATCAGCATGTGGTCTCCACGTAATAACATTTTTTACTACGATTAAGTTTATTGGTACAATTTAGGTGTATACTTAATGACCACATGCTTTATAGGGAATTTTTACTTGTATATGATATATCTTAATTTCTCTTTTTTCCCCACTCCCATCCCTTTCCTTCAAACCACCTTTCCCTCCTGATTTGCAAGTGTTTGTTTTTATTTTTCTTATTTTTTCTTTCCCTGCTTTCCTTTCACCCCACCACCCTTTTACAGTATCATTTGTATATTTTCATTCTTACTTATATTTTCAGTTTCTCACACTAGAGGTATAATGTGATATTTACATGTGTGTGTCCTGTTTACCTCACTGATAATTATGGTCTTAATGTCCAACCATTTAGTCATAAATGTCACAGTTTTATCCTTCATTATGACAGAGTAGTACTCCCTTATATAAAAAAAGTCACCTTGTTATCATTCATGGGTGGGTGGGCATCTAGGTTAGCTCCTGATTTGGCTATTACAGGCTGTGCTGCTATAAACATGGGTGTGCATGTTTCATTGTAGTGTGATGCTTTGAATCTTTCCAGGAAAATACCCAGAAGGAGAATAGCTGGGTCAAATGAGACGTGTTCTTTTTAAAGAAATCTCCACACTGCTTTGCACAGTGGTTGCACAGGTTACACTCACATCAGTGGTAGAGAAGGTTCCATTTTCCCCACCAGACTCTCCCCATTTGTACTTGGTTAATTTCTTCTAATAGCCAATCTTTCTAGAGTGAGATGGAATCTCAGCATTGTTTTAATTGGTATTTATTAAATGACCATTGATGATGCAGAACATTTTTCATATATTTATTTGTGACTTATACTTCTTCATGTAAGCCATGTCAATTCATCTTAAATGTCCATTTTTGGATTGGGTCTTTGAATTTGGGGTTTTTTTTTCATTTTGTATATGTTCTAGATATTAGTCCTTTGAGGAACCACTGGAAAATATTTTCACACTCTGTGAGTTTTCTTTAAACTTTCTTTGTGATTTCTTTTGCTGTGAAAAATCATTTTAATAAGAGGAGATCCCAGCTGTTGATTGTTTGTCTTAATTCCCATATGATCAGGTTTTGTTCATAAAACTTCCCCACACCCATAGCTTCAAGAGTGCTTCCTATTCCTCTTCCAATCGAATTATTGTTTCTGTTTTAATATTTAGATCTTTGATACATTTTTATTTTAGCCTAGTGCATGGTGATAGATACGGGTCTAGCTTGTCTTTAGCAGGTGAAAAGCCCATTTGCCAGCCCCATTTATTAAAGAGGCTTTCTTCCAGTAAATGTGTTTGATCCCTTTGTCAAATATCAGGAGGATGAATGCATTTGAAGTTGTTTCTACATCTTCTAATAGGTTCCACTGGTCTTCATTTTTTTCAGTACCATGTTGCTTTGATCAGGAGAGCTTTGAGTAATAATTTAACTTCAGGGATGGTTTTGTCCCTTGCCTTGCCTTTGTTACTCAGAATTACATTTACTCATATGTCTGTTGATTTTCTAGTTCTGTGAGGTATTATAATGGTATTTTGATTTGTACTGGATTCAGTCTGTGCAGTAATTTTGGAAGTACAGTTATTTTCATTATGTTTGTTGTTCCTATCCAATAGCAAGGAATATCTTTCCATTTTCTCGTATCTTCTTCAATCTTCTTTTTCAGAGTACCATATTTTTCAATATAGAGATTCTTTATCTTCCTGGTTAGATTCCTAAGGGTTTCAATTATTTTAGATGCTATTGTGAAAGGTGTTGCTTCCCTTAATTTGTTTGTTGTTTTTGTACAGAAATGCTATTAAGGTTTGAGCGTTGACTGTGTATCCAGCTTTGTGATTGAATCTGGTACTGAAATCTAGATGTCTTTTGGTGGAGTTTTGGGCATGTTTTAGGTAGAGTAGTGTGTCATCTGCAAATAATGATAATTTAACTTCTTGTGTTCCTATCTTTATTTCTTATTTCTTTCTTATGACTGATTGTTCTGGTCAGTTTCCAGAACCTTACTGAGCAGAAGTGGTGACAGTAGACACCTTGTTTTATTCCTGATTCTAGACTGAAAGATTTCAGTGGTTGATCAGTTAGTATGATGCCATTCTATTTCTTTAGATTGGTGAATTGAGACCATTTACATTGAAGAGTTAACTGACATGTATTGGCTTTCCTATATTATTTTCTTTTGTTTGTTCCTTGTATTTCCCTTCTGTTTCATTTCTTGCCTTGCCTGGTGGACTTTTTTCTGTTTGTGTTCTTTTATACATGTACACCATTACCTCTCTCTAGAATATCAGAATACATTGTAGAGCTTGTTTGGTAGTTACGAATTTCTTAAGATTTTCTTTTTCAAGAAAGTATCTTATTTCTCCATTCATTCTGAAAAATAGTTTTTCAGGGGACATCAATGTGGTCTGGAAGTTATTTTTTTTCAGACCTTGTAATACTTCACTCCAAATGGTCCTTGACCTAGGGGTTTGTGTTGAGAAGTCAGCTGTCGCTGTTTGGGACTCCCGCACTTAGCCATCGGTGTGCAGAGGTGGGGCTGGGTGGATCTGGGGCGCTGCATCAGCCTCCCAGTGTGTCTGGAGGACTGTGGATATCTCAGCAAGCAGGGGAGGATCGCAGGTTCCAGAGGCACTGCGGCTTGTGGTGAGCGCTCAGCACACTCTGCCGAAATCCCAGACTGTTCAGGGCCCTCCAGGCTTCCGGGTGCAGTGAAGTGAAGAAGTGGGTTTGAGGCCTCTACATCCGCCTCCCCATCCTGGCTGCACTTGGAGAACTGCAGAGCTTCCAACGGGTGGGCGGGCCCATGCTATCCCCAGAGCCCAGCCTGTTTGGGACTCCCCCACCTAGCCATCAGTGTGCAGAGGAGGGGCTGGGCGGATCTGGGGTGCCTGCATCAGCCTCCCCATGTGTCTGGAGGACTGTGGATGTCTCAGCGGGCAGTGGAACATCGCAGGTTCCAGAGGCCCTGCAGCCTATGGTGAGCACTAAGCACACTCTGCCCAAATCCCAGACTGTTCGGGTCTCTCCAGGCTTCCGGTTGCAATGAAGTAGAGAGGTGGGTTTGAGGCGTCTACATCCGCCTCAACATCCCAGCTGCGATTGGAGAGCTGTGGAGCTTCCAAGGGGTAGGTGGGCACACACTGTCCCTGAGGCCCAGCTTGTCTGGAACTGCGGAGTTCTGAGCAGGCAGAGGAGGGCCATTGGTTCTGCAGGCCCAGTGGCTTGGGGTAGCGTGGTGCCAGAGTCTCAGTACCTGCAAACATAGAAGGGGATTTTCAACAGATCCTAAGGAAGCTTTCAAATAACACTTGAAACACAGAAATATAGGAAAATGACAAAATGAAAGACCAAATTACAACCTCAAACCTCCATCCCATCTCAAGAAACTCTAGGAGCAATGTCTATAGAAGAAAATATATGCCATTCACCTCAAATATCGGATACAATAGCTACTGAAATTGACAAGCAGCTCCAGGAAGCTTTAAAGAAATTCAGACGCGAAATAATCTCCCAGATAAAAGAAGAAATGATAAAAGAAATGAAAGAGATTCTGAATATATCTAAAGAAAACACAGATAAAAAATTGGAGGAACTAAACAAAAAGATAGAATCCCTAGACGAGCAATATAAGAAACAAACAGAATACATAATGCAGATGCACAGAGATATACAGGAAATGAAAAAATCCACTGAAAGTTGTAAAAACCGCCTTAATGAAAGTGAAGATAGAATTTCAGACCTTGAAGACAGGATTGCAGCTAGTGAACAGGAAAGGAAAGATCTTTTGAAAATAACAAGGAATCAGGAAACAACAATTCAACAACTGCAAGACAATGCAAAGAAGAATAACATAAGAATGATAGGGATTAATGAAAAAGAAGGAGACAACATAAAGGATGTCAAGAGGATATTTAGAGAACTAATAGCTGAAAATTTCCCAAGCACGAGATCAGAAACAGACATCAGGATCAGTGAAGCATATAGAACTCCAAACAGTCATAACCAAAATAAAACTACACCCAGACATATAATAATCACCATCCCAGAAATCCAACATAAGAATAGATTATTAAAA